TATTGTTCCTGTTGCAGTTGTTGTTGCTGCTGCTATTGCTGCTGCTGTTGTTGCCATTGCTTGTTGCTGCTGCTGCTGTTGTTGCTGCTGTTGCTGCTGCTATTGTTCCTGTTGCTGCTATTGTTCCTGTTGCTGCTATTGTTCCTGTTGCTGCTGTTGTTGATGTTGCTGTTGCTGCTGCTGTTGCCGTTGTTGCTGTTGCTATTGCTGCTGCTGCTGTTGTTATGGCTGTTGTTGCTGTTGCTGCTGCTATTGTTTCTGTTGCTGTTATTGCTCCTGCTGCTGTTGTTACCATTGCTGTTGTTGCTGTTACTGCTGTTGTTGCCATTGCTGTTGCTGCTGTTGCTGCTGCTGTTGTTGTGACTGTTGTTGCCATTGCTGTTGTTGCTGTTGTTGCTATTGTTGCTGTTGATGCTGTTGCTGCTGCTGCTGGTCCTGTTGCCATTGCTGTTATTGGTGCTGTTGTTGCTGCTGTTGGCATGGAGACCCAGGGAGCTCTGCAGACGTGCTTGGGCCCACACATCTGGCTCCTGAGAGGATCCCAGTACCACTGGGTGATTCAAGTGAGCTGCTGCTACTCTCCCCAGCTCAGACTGGTCCAGAAGCTGAGACAAGACTAAGTACATCTGAGTGACAGGGATTCTGTGGGTAGCTGGCAGACCCAGGAGCAGGCTTGCTCCTGATTTGTATATTACCAAGAGAAACATGTCAGGAGGGCACAGCTGGGAACAGCAAAATGCAGAAAGCAGCATTTCGGCAATGAGTATCAGCAACATCCTGGTGTTCATACAGGCAAGATGTTGAGAAAACTTATGATGTCAGCAGATTTTTAATTTATTTCTTTTACTTGTTGAATGCTGAAAAATAAATAAACTTTGGTAAAAAAATAATTTCTCAAATTCCTTTTGCAGAACTAATGATAACAGTGTCTAGATTTTGCAGGCATCATTTTTAATTGATATAAAATTAAATTTAGACATTTCTAACAGTCTCTATTACAGAGAGGGTTGAAACACCTTAAATAAGGTATGTAGGCCAGTCCCACTCCTAGAAGACAGTTTAAGAACTGCTCCATCCACATTAGCTATTCACCAAGCTCTGTCCATTTTCTGTTTGAGCGTGACCACTAGGGACACTGCAAGATGGACCCTGGACAAAATTTATACTCATTTGTTATTCCACTTACTTATTAACTTTCAGTTTTCTGCTCCTTATAATTTCTTTCTCCCCTCTCCATTTTTATCATTGCAGATCAAGAAAAAACAAAGAAAAGATTATTTACCTCCAAGTCAAGAAACTAGACACCCCACTAAATTAAGAAGAGAGAGCTACTCTGGCCTGCTTTGATAAAACAAGCCCAGAATCAGAGGTTCCTACGCTCATCATAAAACCCATTCAATTCAACCTGACTTCTTTTGAACACTATTAAGCTTGATCAATAACCAAATGGAGTTTGTTGTACTGCTGTATAAAAATCTGCATATGGGACCAGGTCCTGCAGTCTTCTCTTCCTTGAACACTTTTCATGACCTCATCTTATGTAGGTGCCTTAAGAGGGGATGCCAGTACTCCTCAAGACCAATCATTGCCCCCAGATGTGTGCAGAGTAGATTCTAGAATGTCTCAAGGGAAGAATTCAGAAGTCTATCTAGGAAAGAGAGAGCTTACACATGAAAAGAATTTCAAGATTTTGTAAGTTATATCGGCAGAAATCCAGGGAATAGTTTGGGAATGAATTATGATCCTAAGCTCAGGAGGCTGAAACATAATAATGGATCAGGTCACATTCATTGGTATGTGTATTCTGAGCCAAGATTCTAGATTTAAGGTGCTGCCTGGAGCATCTAGCATTGGCTCCAGTAGTTAGCAGATCAACAACATTAGAAAAGATATAAGAGAGGGTGGGATATAGCTCAAGTGGTAGAATGCATGCTTGGTATGCACAAGGTCCTGGGTTCAATCCCCAGTACATCCTCTAAAAACAAATAACAAACCTGATTACCTCCCCCACAAAAACAAAAACAAAAAAACATATTCCTAGGATTTATACTTTGGAATCTTAAGGCATGGACACCATCAATATTACTGGATGAATCAAAAAAAAAAAGATATAAGGGAGTGTTTCCATGATTTGAAATAAGGAGAACTTTTTAGGCAAGAATAGAATCTAAGAGCCATGTGAAAGATTGATTGATCAATGTGACTACCCAAAACAGGACTAAATTAAATGAAGCTAGGTGTGTTGTACACTTGGGGTACCACACACCCCAAGAATAAATTTAATGCATGAGTGACAGGCTTGAGAAAAGATTTGCAACATATATAAAGCATTCAAGGGATTAATATCCAAAAGAAATGGCAGGGGGAATAAATTAGGAGTGTGGGATTAACAGACACTACTATGTATAAATAAATAAATAATGGGGAGCTACTGTAGAGCACAGGGAACTATATTCAATATCATGTAATAACCTATCATGGAAAAGAATCTGAAAAAGAATATATTTAAAACTAAATCACTTTTCTGTACACCTGACACTAACCAACATTGTAAATCAATTATACTTTAATTTAAAAAATAATAAATTTGCATTTCCTCAAAAAAAAAAAAAGGAAATAAAGAGCTACTAAAAATCAGTAAGGAAAAGACAATCCTTTAAACACTCCATTAGAAAACAATAATGGTCCAAGAATACCAAGTTATTTATAGAAGTAGCATCAAAAAAAGGTTAAGTTATTGAAAATAAAACATGTGTATTCTCATTGTTAATCAGGGAAATACAAATACCAGTGAAACATTTTTATTCATTGGATTAATTAATAAAATTAACAGCACAATAAAATGGAAAATATCAAGTGTGTATGCAGAGATGAAGAAACTTTCATGCTTCGCTAGCAGTAGTATTAATTGGTATATTCTTTAGAAAAGCAATTTGTCAGCGTCCATCAACATTAGAAACGTGCATATCTATCACCCAACAATCTCACTCCTAGGTCTCTATCTTTGAGAAACACAAATGTGTGCACAGAACCATCTCAGAAGTATTCATTTGTGTCATTTGTTGATGACAGCAAAAATTGGAAATAACAAAATCCTTAAATATGAAAAATGCTTACATAAACTATGGTGTATTGACTTATCAGTTAAAAAGGAATGAAAATGATTTCTAGCTCCTCCATAGAAAGACTTCCACGATGAAGGGCAAAGATGAGCTTTGGAAGAGTAATGTAAGAAGGAGGGGATGTACATCTAATGATCTAGGGGGAGGCGGTCTGAGACTGGGCAGTGCACGAGGAAAGACTTTAGATTTTTCTGTAATTCTTGCACTTCTATGTTTTGACGTGCATGTGCATGGCATGTTCATGCTGTTTTTAAAAATAAATGATTAACTCTGAAAAATAGTTTCTTTAAATACTAAACATGCGCTTGCAACATCACCTAGTAATTGCATTCCTAGGCATTTATCCCGAAGAAGGGAAACACATGTTCACACAGAATTTCATACACAATTGCTTATGGCAGTTTTTATCTGTAATAGACAAAATCTGGAAATAACCAAAAGGTCCTTCATACCAAGAAATACTCCCCAACAAGACAAAGCAACAAAGCAACAATACACACACAACTGGAGCAGATCTCAAGGGCATTACGCTGAGCGGTAAAAGCCAATCTCAGTCATTCATGAACGGAAGAACTATTGAGATGGAAAACAGATTAGTGGTTAATGATGGTAGTGATTACATAAATCTGCCCATGTGATAAAATGACACCGAAATATTCTCACACATTGCACCGATGTCAGTTTCCTGGTTTTGATATTATACTCTAATCAGACAAAACGAAAACTGTTGGGGGAAACCAGCTGGAGGGAATCCAGGACGTCTCTGTGCTATCTTTGAGACTTCCTGTAAATCTATAGTTATTTCAAAATAAGGTCTTAAAAACTAAATGATTAAAAATACAGTATTTTTAAAAAGTAAATGCTATAGGGGCCCAGAAAATGTCCACACACACACACACACACAAAATCTACAAATAATAAATCAACTATACTTCAATTAAAAAAAATAACACAGAGAGGCGAATACTATTAACAATCTAAACTCCACATTCCTTTTCTGTGTGTCTGGAATTCAACACCATTTTTTACAGTCAGGCAAACAGGTAAGAAGTCAGATTAAAAAGAAGAAAAACAGCTAACATCACGTCAGTGCATTCGTGGACGTGGCCTCCCATAGGTCCCCCAACTACGCCCGGAGGTGGGCTGGGCTGCCGACCTCCTGGAACCCAGCAGCCTCAGGGTGTGTCTGGGGCCTGGTGATCCCCAAAGTCCCCAGCACCCTTGAGGAAAAGAAATAGGTTGGCCGTGCAGACTCTGAGAGGCAACCTGTCAGTGAAAGGGCAGTGGGCTGCTCGCTACAATACCAAGTTCAAGAGAAGACATAGATTTAGGAACAAGTCTAACTGACCCTTGGTCAGCCTGTAACTCAACTAGCAGGTGTAGATGGGTGAACACGCCAGAATGGGGCCACCAAGCCAAGCTGAGGGTTCGTCAGCTGGTTTCACAGAGGGGAAGTGTGCCAGTCAGAGTTCCCCAGAGAAACAGAACACACACACACACACACACACACACACACGCTAAAGGAAATTTTGGCTTACATGATTACAAAGGCTGAGAAGTCCCACGATCTGCTGTCGACAAGCTAGAGACCCAGGAAAGCCAGTACCATTCAGTCCAAGTCTGAAGGCCTGAGGACCAGGGCAGCCGACACAGGAACTCCCAGTCCACGTGCAGAAAACAGGTGTTCCAGCTCAACCGTTGGGCAGGAAGGGAGGCCGGCGGGCAGGGGGCTGTTTTCCTTCCTCCGCTTCCTGTTCGGCCCAGGCCCTCGAGGGACTGAATGACGCCCACTCAGGCCGGGAGGGCATCTCCTTGACTGAGGCCACCGCTTCCAGCGCCGAGCTCCTCCAGAAACACCCTCACAGATGCACCCAGGACTAATGTTCAGTCGGCACCCCAGGGCCCGGTCAAGTTCACACGAAATTAGCCCTCACAGAGGGGTAATCCTGCAAACTGGTTCAGCAGAGGCCGGTTGCGTGAGCTTCTCCTCAGCCCAATGCTGACATTTGAAACAAAACATAGAATTTTCTGTATTTCTCTCACACAAGCCCTGATGAACAGGACACGGTGTGTAACCCAATACCCTGATCAAACCCCAAGAATAAAACTCTCTTCCCTTTGCCCTGTTCGGCAGGTCTTAGCACAGGATCCATGGGTAACCGGGACCCTAGAGCTGCGAGCCTGAGTGACCCCCATTAAGTCCTGGAATCAAAAGTGACTTGGCAAAGGCTTCTTTCCCACAACAGTCTGAATCTACTTTGTCGTCAGACAAATGGGTCTTGGGTTCAAGTTTACTTTCAGATGTCTCTGGCAACAATTGCTCTAAGGCAAGAAGATGGAGTCAGAGACACACTCGTCCATCACTCTCCGGCTGCTGTGATTGTCAGGTTTGTGTGGCACCCGTGTGCCTTCATCTGGGTCTTCCCCGCCCCGCCCGGAGGGCAACAAATCTTGCACCGCGAGTGCTTTTCCTTAGGCTGGGAGCCCGTGGGGACACCACCTCAAACACGGCTGGCCCTGGCAAAACTGAAGCAGCCACGTCCCAGGGTCCCTTGTCCCTGGGCTGCCTCTCCTCCCTCCCCAGGCCCACCCTCTCCGGCTAATCCAGGGCCCTCTGACACCAAGCAATCTCCCCTCTGGCCCCTTATTGAAAGAGACACACTCCGTAACCCAGACCCAGGGCTCTGTTACAAAGCGACTGTGTGGGCAGAGGATGCTAATCCTGGAAACCAGTCTGGCTGCACTGTGGGAACTGGTGTTTTCCATCCCAGTGCTGTTGGGTATTCGGTCACTTCAGTGCTTGTGGGCCCAGAAACTCTTAAAAAGCAGTAACTCTGAACACCAGGTGCCAGCTGGGATTTCCAGGTCAATGGCTCTGGCCCAGAACTCCCTTCTCGGCTCCAGATGTCTCCACTGAGGGGTCCTGAGGGCTTCCTGCAGACAGCGTTTCTCATGGAGATCTTTACTCCCGATGACAAAAATGTTTATCATCTTTAGATTTTGATAAGAATTCTGAAAAGGCCCGTATCTTCATATCTTGCTTGCACGTTTTCTAAAGCCATCTCTCACGCCCAGGAAAGCATGTGGAATGTTACAAGGGATGTAGCCACAGATGCTCAGTGACGATTTTCACGTCAGGCAGAACTCCTGGGGTCAGGGACAGCCGGAGGCGTAGAGCCCCCCCAGGCCCTGAGCCCCCTAGTTCACAACCCAGCAGGGGCCCAGTTCAAACACAACAAACTGGGGTTATACCCTGCAATGCCCCGCCGCACCAGAGGGCTAACCACGGACTACTAACCAGTCACATCAGGCGCCCAGACAAGATGAACAAGGTGGGTGGAGGAAAGAGCTGGGTAATGACAGCATGGTGTACAGAGCAAGAACGAGCAGGAAGGGTGGGCTGGGGCCCCCCAACCAGAGCTGGTCCTGCTTGCTGAGCGGGGACGTGTCTCCCCACCACCCAGGGAGCTGACACTTAGCTCCAGTGCATGGAATCCACAGACAAAGGAGAAAGTGTGTTTCGTGGGGAGATAGCAGCTGGTCTGGGGGCAATGCCGTGGGTGGTTGAGGTGCAGCGTGTGCAGGAGGGGGGAAGGCAGGCAGAGCAGCCATGGGTGCTCAACCTCGACCTTGTGGGCAGAGCCGGGCAGGAGAGAAAGGATGGGTGGCCGGAGGCATGGAGCCCCAAGTGCTGGCCTGAGCTGGAGCTGGAGAAGCAGGCAGATGAGAGAGGGTTTTGGGAAGGGGGAAAAAAAAAGGATGCCTGTTAAATATGGGACCAGAGGTTAAAGAGGACTTTAAAAAGAGGGTAGTGATGAGACATCCCACAACAATCTAAGAAAACAAACGCACTGGAAACTAACCCCACACGCCGTGCAGCCCGGGGACACTTCACACGGGAAGGTCCAGGAGCAGGGCTGGAGGCCCTGAGGCCATCAGTACCCTAGAGAACCACACAATAATTTTTACACCTGAAACCACCAGAAATCATAAAAACAGGGTTCGAGTACTTTTTAAGTACTCTTTTGGAAAGCAA